GGGGGCGGGGCCAGGCCACCCAGGCCGCTCGGAAGCTAGGTGCAGCCGCAGTTGGCGGGTGGCGGCCCCCAGGCCCGAGCGTCCAGTGCACGCCTCGCGGACCGGGGCGGGGCTTACGGCCGGCGGTGCCTGAATGGCACCTCGTGGGGGTGCAGCCCGATCCAGGGCGCCTTTCCACGCCCGAGGGAGTGCCGCGGGACTGGGTCTTTTGCGCGCAGGGACTGAGATGGGGTCGGGAATGAGGAAGGTTCGGGTTGAGGTTTGGAAAGCGGCCTCCAGGGCTCACGCAGAGAGCTGCGTGGCCGGTCAGGCAGGAGCCACTCAGACTTGTGGGCGCGCTCACAGGGGGCGGTGCTGGCGGGCCCACCCTCGTGCTCCCTGCGCAAGGTCCCGCGTGGCGCCTCCTGACCGCCCGCCCGGCCTGTCCGGCCGCCCACAGAGTCCTGCGCGCAGGTGGTGTGCCCGCGGCCTCAGTCGTGCGTCGTGGACCAGACGGGCAGCGCGCACTGCGTGCTGTGTCGCGCGGCCCCCTGTCCCGTGCCCTCCAGCCCCGGCCAGGAGCTCTGCGGCAACAACAACGTGACCTACAGCTCCTCGTGCCACCTGCGCCAGGCCACCTGCTTTCTGGGCCGCTCGATCGGCGTGCGCTACCGGGGCAGCTGCGCAGGTGAGCGGGACAGGGACGGCCTCCGGGGTCGCGCCCCACCCCTGCACCGCACCAGGCTCCTGTCGTCCTCCCCTCGCCCACAGGGACCCCGGAGGAGCCGCCGGAGGCGGAGTCGGAGTCGGAGGAGGAGAACTTTGTGTGAGCGGTCAGCGGGCCTGGGCCTGGCGGTCCAGGTCTCCTCGTTCTATTTATTGCCATAGCAGCCTAACTTATGTCCCGCTGGCTCCCCAGAGCCTGGCCTGGGGTCTCCGGGGACCCGGCAGGACTGAGGGAGGGTGGCCTGGGAGCCCGGCTGTGGGTCACGCACTGTACCCCCAGCCCACGTGCTGGGCCTCAGGGGACTTCAGGAGGTCCCCATGCTTCCCCTTGGGGACACATCTGGTCATTTTCGCCATCACCTGGCTGGCCCAGGACTCCCTGCGGGAAACCGGAAGAGGCGCTGCTTGCTCACCCACCCCCAAGCGGGAGGTGAGCGAGGTTCGGCCCGGGTGGGCATCGGGGAGCCTCAGCCCTCATGCACCTTGGTGCACACAGGCAGGCCCAGCCAGGCAGACCCTCACCCGGGCTAGGAAGCAGCCTGAGGCCTTCAGTCTTGGCCTCCCCACTCCCTCTGCTGTCATGTCCTGTGACCGCCCAGAGAGGTGGCCCACCGTCTAAGGTCGCGGTCTCTGAGGGCCGGCACAGAGCGGAGCATTGCCCTGCCATGCCCAGCCCCTGAGGGGGCCGCACCCTGCTCCCTGCTTGCATGGAGACTGGCTGCATGCCCCTCCGGACCGGGCGGCCGAGTGGAGCCCAGTGCCTGCCAGCCTGGTGCTGGTCCTGGGCTGCCCCTGCACCCAGTCCTGGCTACTGCTACCAGAGGGTCAGCCCAGATGTGGGTGGCGGGGACCCCACTGGGAAGGATCCTGGGTCCCCGGGACTGGGGCGAGGCGTGTGGGAGTCTGCTGACTCTGGCTCCCCCGGAGGGCCTTATGTCCGGAGCAGTGTCCTTGAGCGGGTGAGTCTGCCCACGCCGCCCCCCCCCAAGGCAGCCTCCCCCACCTGGGGTCCTATCTCACCAAAGAAATAAAGACAAAAAGCCACTTTGGAGGTCCAGGCCTCTGTGTCTCCTCTGGCGGGGGCGGGGGCGCTGGAAGACATGGGGGGTCAGAGGCCTCTCTCTTGGAGTGGCCACTGCTTGGCCCTGGGCCTCTGTCCACCTGGGGCAGCCCGAGGAGCCCCCAGTGAGGAGTGGGGAGCGCCTGGGGTCCTATCTCACCAAAGAAATAAAGACAAAAAGCCACTTTGGAGGTCCAGGCCTCTGTGTCTCCTCTGGCGGGGGCGGGGGCGCTGGAAGACATGGGGGGTCAGAGGCCTCTCTCTTGGAGTGGCCACTGCTTGGCCCTGGGCCTCTGTCCACCTGGGGCAGCCCGAGGAGCCCCCAGTGAGGAGTGGGGAGCGCGGCCCTGGCAAGCGTGGGTCATGCCTGCCCTCCTGGCTGTGTTGTGCATCCGAGGTGGTTTTCAGGGGGCAAGGACGGACGGGGTGGGAGGCCAGCCAGTTGGGGCGAGGAGGTCCCACCTGTGCCCGGAGAGCTCGGCTCCCTTTCTGGTTCTCACCTCCCCTGCAGGGTCAGGCAGCCGAGGAGGGCCAGCCTGCCAGGAGGAGCGTGCAGTGCCAGGGCCGGGGTCTGTTGGGTACCAGGGTGCACAGGGGCTAGACAGACACGGACAGGGTGAGCCCGGGGCTGGCTCCAAGCTGCTGCTGAGTCAGGCAAGTTTACTTGGTTCCTGGCCTCCCACGTGCCAAGGTGCCCCCCCGCACCCCCACCAGCCCCTGGGGCCCCAGGACCTGGCCCGGCCGCGGGGCAGGGCAGGCCCAGAACCGAGTCTGCATGCTCAGACGGCTCGCTGCCGGACCACGTCCCGGATCCAGGCTACGAAGGCAGACACCTGCGTGTACACGTCGGGGGTCTTGGGGTTGCCACACCAGAGCCCCGAGAAGGAGACCACGCCGTGGGCCCGGTTCCTGCACACCAGGGGCCCCCCGGAGTCCCCCTGCCAGAGAGGGAGAGAGAAGGTTGGGGTCCGTCTCGGGGTCTCGTTTCCCCGAAGGAGCCTCCCCGGGTACCTCTCAGCATGACTCTGCTTGCCTCAAGGACCCCAGGGGCTCCCTAGCATCTTCAGCAAAGCCTAGCTCTCCTGTCCCCACGGCCCAGGATGTGGCCCCACCACCCTACTGCCCTGCTGGCCCTGGACGCCTGCTTCCAGCCTCCGGAGTCCGGGGACCTGTGTTGCCCCCGGCCACGCCACTCGACAGCTCTGGGTTCGGCCGCCTGCATGAGGCTGCCGACTGCCAGTGCCAGGCAGGCCTCCCTCCGCTCTGGAGCCTCCCCATACGTGCACCCGACCTCTCGGCCCTGGTCCTGCTGCCTCGTTCCATCCAGGGTCAGCACTGACCCTGGGCCCCTTCATGTGCGTCACGGGTGGAGACGGAGGCCCAAAGGGGCCAGATGGTGTCCCCATGGTCGCCCGTCTGGGAAGCGGCCCTGTAAGGGCTGACCCAGAGCCTGCCTTCTGAACCCTGTCACTGAATGCAGGGCCTCTCAGTGTGGGCTGGAAACGCCAGGGTGGTGAGACACGGGAAGGTCTGCGTGACCGGCCTGGGGCTGCGTCCGGAGACCCCGAGCACGCCGGCCGCAGACTCGCCGTGACCAGGGTGCTGTCTCTCTGTCTCTCACTCATGGGAGAAATAAATAAGCTTGAAAGGGTGTTTTTAGAGCACAGCGTAGCAACTGTTTAAAATGTATTGAAACTTCCCCGTGGTATTAATTTGCTGGAGAGCCAGAGCAAGAGAGAAAGCACCCCGGGGCCTGGCACACGCAGTCCCTCCTTGGCCTCAGCGCCCACCCACAGCCCTGCTCTGCAGATCTCCTGGAGGGCAGGCCGGGACACTACACCTTTTTCTTTTTTTTTTGGAGAGGTTTTTGCTATAGGGCGCGTGCGCTCGCCAGACAGACAGAGAGAGACAGACAGAAAGTGAGAAATCACCCCTGGGGGTATGGCCATGCCGCAATCTCTTCTCTGTTCTCCTCTTGGGATCTTGGGCACGCACGCGCACACGCCCGGTGTGAGTTTAAGCCACCGGGTCCAGGATTTGAACTGCAGTCAACTCCAAGGGAGTCCAGTGACATAGCCATTACATTAAGTGCCGGTCCCAAGACTATGCCATTTTTTAAAAATGTGCTAAAGAGTGTGTTATCTCCCCAGAGAGCTGGGGTGGGGGGACACGGGCCCCGCGGGCGTGCTCATACTGGAATCCCTTCTGTAGCTCCCGGCTCTGCAGGGTTTGGGGCACACCCACACACGCACCTGGCGTGTTTTTCAAGCTGGGATTTGAACTGTGCGGTCAGCCATGTGGGATCCAGTCCCCTCAGCTGCCAGACCTCAAGGTTGGCCATTTGGTAGGGGCCTTGAGCACCTGCAGGGGTCCCGGAACCACCCCGGGGACACCGAGGGACGAGTCTGGCACGTCCACGCTGGGCAGGCTGCAAAGCGAACCTGCGGCCTCCCCAGCCTTGCTGGCCCTGCCCTTCCCGCCTCCACCTCCTGCAAGCGTCAGCAGGACTCGGCCTGCCCCACGCCGGGCCCCTGGACGCTGCGTCCCCCCATGGGCAGGGCAGGCAGGACCTCACCGAACAGAAGCCGCGCCTCCGCCGGTCGCCGCTGCGCGTGCAGAGCATGGCGGTTCTCAGGTGGCCGCCCCACGAGCTGTTGCAGGCGTCCAGGTCGAGCACCTGCACCTCAGCCTCCATCAGCCCTGGCGGGGCCTCCTCGAAGTCGGACACGGAGCCCCAGCCGGCCACCTGGCAGGGTGTCCAAAGGCGGCAACCTGGCCACCCCCCGGGGCCAGCCGCAGCAGCCCCACTGCAGGGCCCAGCGCGGCAGAGCCGTTGAGCTGCGGGGAGAGCCGTGTTCAGGCCAGCCCCGCCCAGCTGCCGAGGCTCCTGCTGTCCCCAGTCCGGAGTAGGACACCCTCACCCTCACCCACGCCGACCTGGGACGCCAGCAGCGGCCTGCCCCGCCTGGGCCCTTCACCCTACCAGCTGCCACCTGGCAGGACGAGGACTCTGGCCTCCCCCACCTCCAGGCCTCCAGGCTCTGCACCTGGGCTGCCCAGAGGCGCTCCTGACCCTGGCAGCCCCTCTGCCCCTCTTCAGCCTGGTGAGTTTACCACGCCCACCTCATACCTTTGCTCACACAGACCCCTGCCTGGCCTCAGCTGGCATCACCTCCTCCAGGAAGCCTTCCCACACCCCGGCTAAGGTGCCTGCCTGGACCTCTCGTGTGCCCGTCAGGTGGCTCTGCCCCTGGGCTGGCAGGGCCGACGCGGGGCCAGCAGCCGGGCCTCTGTTCACGGTCACCCTCCCAGCCCTGGCACCCTGGCCCCCAGCTCTGGCTCTTGCTCTGAGGCCTGGGGTAGATCCAGGCTGTTTTCCAGCCTCGGTGTCCCCACCTGTGCCCTGGGCCGAGCAGGCCAGAGCATGGCCTGGGAGAGTCCAGGCTGCTGAGACTCAGGCCCCCCAGGCCCTGGGTGGAGGCGGATCTGGGGTGTTCTGGCTCCTACCCGTGGCCCCGAGGGGTGGGGCGCCCTGAGCAGAGGGCAGAGCTCAGCCCCTGCTGTGCCCAGCTAATGGCCAGGGTGTGACAAGGCCCTGCCCTGGAGGCCCCAGGCGAGGAGCCCAGGTGTGTACAGGGGACAGCTTGCCAGACAAGGGAGGGGGGCCAGGGGACAGCTCCGAGAGGGTGACCCAGAGCAGGGGCTGAGGGCGTGTCAGGCTGTCCAGGGCAGAGACTCAGAGGTGACACGCTGGGAATGATGACACACAGCAAGGGGCCAGTCTGCCTGGAGCCGGGGCCCAGGGTGACAGGGACAGCCCGCACAGGGTCTGTAGGTGTCCTGACGGGGGCGGGGGCAGGGGCCAGGGGCCAGGGCAGGTTTTGGCAGAGGGAGCTCCTGACCGGCATGTGTGGGGTCCCTCCGCTGTGCCCCCCGCAGAGGGAATTCCTCACCCGGCAGGTGTGGGGTCCCTCCGCCGTGCCCCCCGCAGAGGGAGCTCCTGACCGGCACGTGCGCCCCCGCCCCCAGCTCACCCTCAGCAGACAGATGTCGTTGGCGTGGCTCTCGGGCTGGTAGTCGGGGTGCCTGAACGCGGCTGCAATGCCGAACACCTGCTGTGTGGGCTCCGAGACACCCAGGACGTGGGCCCCCAGCACCACCAGGCCCTTCTGGGGGTCCCTGTGGGGCGGGGGGGCGAGTGAGGTCCTGAGCAGTGGTCTCACCACGCAGCACGCCCGGGCTGGCAGTTCCCATGCGCAGTGCACGCATGGCCCACTGCCCGGTGGCCCGCCCGGAGTGCCCGGTGGCCCGCTGTCCCCTCGCGTCCCACCCTGGTGCAGGACCCC